TGACGCGGGGCTCGAACTCACGGACCGCGAGATCGTGACCTGGCTGAAGTCGGACGCTTAACCGACTGCGCCACCCAGGCGCCCCATAAAATTAATTTTAATGATACACTTAGTAAGTCCAAAATATTATTTTAATGTTTAATCAATACTTTAAATGTCTGCATTCTCTTTTTTGTACTGTCTTCATTGTATTTTCTATTTCCAAAGCACCTCCATTCAGACTAGTCACGTTTCAAGTGTCCACTAGCCACATGGGGCTAGTGGCCCATGTTGAACAGCACACATGCAGACCAAGAGTACATCCCTTCTACAGTGAGTTAAAGCCTTCAGGTCTTTGGTCCTCCACTCTCAAGGACTCACCTAGTTATCATTTCCTGGGCATGGGGCCTTTGAGCCTCACAGAGATTCTCGTCTTTCTCTCCACAGTATGAAAAAGCTTTCTCACCCAAGTATCTGCAGAACTGGTCTCCCGCCAAGCCAACAAAAGAGGTATTCATGGGCAGGGCTCCTGCAAGGCCGGTTTCTGATTCTTTACCCCATGTTCTCTGTCACTGACTGGCACGGAACTCCTTTAGCCTGTTCTAAAGTCTAAGACCCTCCTCTCCCTCAGCCCTTACCTCAAGCCCCTAGGACACCTTCTCTCTTTTCCACTCCATTTTCACAAACACTTCTCTCCTCGCTTCTACCCTAGAGAATTTCTTCCCACGAAGGCTACACTCAGTTTATCGCCAATGATCGTGGCCATCTGCTGCCCTCGGTGCCCCGTTCCAAGGTGAGATACTGATCTCCATTCCTACTGAGAAAGGTAAAGAACTGAGGCACAGAACTGGGGTGACCGAGACTGGAGGTTTGCAACCTAGCACAGCCACTATCTGGAAATTAAAATTCCATCTAATTCACCACTGCAACACGACCACCCCCAAAACTGCCAGTTTATCCAACATGACAGAGTGAGCACCCAGAATTCCTTACACTGATGAACACCTTCACGTGATGATACTTATGCAGTGGGCACTCTGCCAGACTTAGCCCAAGGACACAGGATTTAATTTAGGCCCTCAGAGTTAATATGCTGAAAAAAATAAGAGTGGCCTAAATGAGAAAGGGGGTAAAGCGAGGGTGGGGAGGCTGTGTCTCTGACTGATTTCGTCGCCACGCCTCCCGAGGGTACAGGGTGGAAGGGAGACAACAGACCTGCCAACAGGTGCGGTACTGGGAGTGGGGACCCTGCCGCAGGACCGCGTCGTCTTCCTTTTAGGCAAGTCCTTGGGGATCCTTCATGGGCACCTGGCAAATGCCTCTGAAGGTGCCCCCCGCCCGGGTGACCCTGACCTCCCGTACAGTGGCTGGTGCTGCCTCCCTCACCAAGTGGATACAGAAAAATCCGGATTTACTCAAGGCCTCCAACGGGCTGCGTCCTGAAATCTTCGGCAAGGTATCTATTCCTCCCACCCAACCTCAAATCCTTTTATCCCCTCGCTTCTTTTCAACCTCAAAAATGCCTCTTGTTACGGCATCACTATCCCAGCAGGGGGAGCCTCTAACCAGCTCTGTCTTAGCCTGTCTAGTCCCCGTCTTCTGACACCTAAGGAGAGGAGCTAATGACATTTTACGCAACCCCCCCCCCCCCTGTAAAATGACCTGATCTGACCTTTTGTCCATGGTACGGGGAGAAACGGAGCTAGAATTCTAAGGATTCTAAGGACCAGGAACGATCTAGGCCTGACCAGAAACATAACTCTTGCATTCTACCCGACAGCCTCACGACCCAGACAGTCAGAGGAAACTCGGGAAGTGGATCACAAAGACCGTACCACAAGCACCAAGTCCCATCATAATCCCAAACTCCCCACCTGTAAACCTCAGTTCCCCAGACCAACCCCAAAGCTCACACCCCTCTGCAGGTCACACTCCAGGCCCCCAAAGCCCAGCCATCTCTCCCAAGAGCCCACCTGGGAGCCCACGCATGCCGGAGCATTGGGCAGGTCCAAATTTAGCTGAGGTCCAGACGTACAAACCTGGAACTCCGGAGACACCCAGGGACCCCACTGAGAAAACCTGTCTGGAAACGGAGTGAAGGAAGCAAGACCCCTGGTGAGGGATATAGAACGGGGAAATTTCAGGGTGGGAATAAAGGTACATTTGGAAAATAAACATCATTTATTGAATCTTTTAGTGACTTGGATGTTTTCCTTCTGTTATGGTTGCCCCCGGTAACCCATTAGTAGGAGGAGGGTTGGAGGAAACAGAATAGGAATAAGAACATGACAGTGGCTTGAGGTGGAATACGTTTTTACACAGGTTGAGTCACTTATACTCCAAAAGTGACCAAGAGTAAGTTGGTCTGAATCGTAGCAAAAGAAATCTCAAACCACCAGTCCCTCACTGCCACCCCTCATTTTTCACCCCGAGCATTCCTACTACAACTTCTGGGTCAGAAGTATAGGCGTTGAGTAGAGGCTGCATGCGTGAAGGAAAGCCAGACACGGGCAGAAGACACTACCCTTGTGCAAGACTTCACACCTGAGGATGGTGAACACACCAGGAAGACAAACTAGAGAGAGCTATAAAAGTGAAACTCAAGCAAACGTACATCCATAGTTTGAAAACTGAAGATACAAAAGTGATTAGAAGACAGAGGGGGGAAAAAAAAAAACCCTAAAAAACAAAGAGAGATGGTAAGTAGGAATTGAGGGCAGAATAACAAACTTGATGACCACTGGACCCCAACCCCAACCAGTCAAATGGTTAAGAAGCCACCAAAAAAGTTAAGATCCGCTTCCCGGCTTCTAACACCTGTTTACCATTCTCCCGTTCCGCATCGTCCCGGTGCTGACTGTTCAATGCAATGCCCTTGCCGAACCTTTCCCGGTTCCGATGTCAAAACCTTCCCTCATGGACATTTGTCCCTCACTCCAAGGACAAGGACAAAGGACATACGGTTTAAGCGGGAGGAAGGCTACAAAGACTCTTCAGGGCTAGTTGCACAAAAAGGGAGAAGCAATCAGTGTGGAAAGCCAAAGACCCCTTGGGGGCCGGGAGGAAGACTCTTGTGGCAGCAGGTCCCCGCGGTCTTGGCTTAAGCGAGGTCTTCCTGCCCAACGGCCACCAGTTACACAGTCCCTGTTCCTCCTCTCCAACCCACAGCATTAACCAGTTGGCCAACAAGTCAGACAGACAAGACAGATGTTACCCCTGAGTTTCCAAAGAATATCAAAACAGCACTCCCACCAAGGGAGTTAGGGACCCAAGAGCCTGGCTCATATAGATTTTCAAAGCAGCAAGTCTTCCCATTAAATTATAAATGTTTGCCGGGTCTTGAATAATCCCTCCTGTCTCGTCTCTGCCCCCCTTTCTCTCCCAGTCTATGTGCCCAGCTCATGATCCCTCAGCTGCCACCTCTGGGGCTCTGGCTCCCTTCCTGGCTCACAGTGTGCTGAACTGCACCAGGAGGTTTATAAGCAGTTCTCAGCGGGATTCTGGAGCCTGTGGTAACGCCGAGCTTCCACATGCTAAGCTTCCTTTCTCTTGCTCCTTCCATCTCTGAGGCTTCTGTATGATATTCGATCTCTGGCTACTTGCATTTGATTCCCTAAAGACTGTTCCAGTGGTCAGTGGCAGAGGGACGAGCGGTTTCCCTCCTGTGAAAGGTCAGATTGGGGGATGTGAACGCCTGAGAGCAGAGGGAGTGGGGAGGAAACTGGCTCCTCCCCGACCGCCGTTCTCTGGGTTTCTCTCGATTTCAAGGAGAGTCAAAGACAAAACGATTTTTTTAATTCAGTTTCAGAAAAAGATGCCCTACGAACTTGGATCAGCAAAGAGGCTCATTTTTCCAGAAATGCAGGGGGGGGGGGGAATAATCCTTCACAGGTTCACCGATAACTTTCTGGGTCTTCCTTTCGCATCAAGAGCTGTGTATCTCCCCCCCAGAGCACCTGCTTCAAGAGTCAACTGACTCTCTTTATCTCCCTCTGGCTGGGACAGGCTAATTCCCCACCACCCCCACCCCTCTGCTTTCGGTCATGCTGTGTGGGCGCTGAAGACCCTGGGCTCTGACCAGTGAACAGAACTGTCCTTTAAGCTAGCAACCCACAGGCGGTGGCGCCCACAGCCCCACTCCCGGTCCCCGTGGCAGAGGCCACAGAGCTGGCATTGTTTCCACTGTCTCAGGAAGAAGGAGCCAAAAGCTGACCGTCAGCACAAATCAAGGCCCAATATGGACAGAGAATGAGGGCTCCCAGGCCCGGAGTAGGCTGTAGGCTGGGGGCAGGAAAAGGGAATTTTTGAGTCATTCCATCTTTAGAAACGAGGGGAAACTGGGCCCTTCCCCACTGCCATGGCTCTATAAGGTATCTACTGCTACTGAGCTCCAAGGGGATGTGCGAGCACAAAGGGTCTGAGGAAATCAGGAGAACTGCGCCTCGGCTGGAGAAGAGAGTCACCAACAGGAAGACAGATCAGTGAATCATTTATGGGAAGACAATGCTGGGAACTTCACTCTTCACATGGCTGCCAGCCCTACAGAGGACAACACAGTAAGAACCAAGACAGCCACTCCAGACTGGTACAGCTGGGGGATCTTCAGACCTTTCCCGAGGTCCCACATCTGCAGAAAAAAGAAGAAAAAAAAAAAAAAAAGAAGGAGAAGAAAGCAAGCAAGAAAGAATTTCAGCAATCAGGGTCCTGGCTACTGTCCTTTCTGACACAGGAGCCCCACCTCATGGAGGGCAACCGCCCTCAGCCCGGGTCAAGGGGGAAAGCGCTTCTCTCACACCCGACCCACCTCCACCTTTCTCAAAGCCCGTGCGACATGGCACCCACCACCCCCTTCTCCCGGGGACAGGAAAGGCATCCTCAGCCCCTACATAGAAGCTTCCAGACTGAAGAGATGTAACTTTCCCTCGTGACACCACCACCAAATCAGTGTTTCCCCAAGTGAGTCCCTCCACAAACTAGTCCCTCAGAATGCTGAAAGTTACTGCACGAGAAAACTTCTATGGTCAAGTGAATTTGGTGGCCGTTTAGCTGCAAGACTTCTGAAACAACTTATTGACGTACAGCGCGAAGCTCCACAACGGGGGCGCACTACACGTGATTCCTCAGACACAGTGGCTCACAGGACCCCCGCTGAGAAGTCACATCTGTCAGAGAACCAGTACCCTAAGAAAATACTCTGGGATCTAGACCACGATGTCTCAATTCTGTTTGTCAGTACATTTATAGCGAAAGTTCACGAAAGAATAAGCGATATTTACCATTAGCGTGTGTGTGCTACATTCTGTATGCCGCATCCTACTAAATTCCTGTTTTGTTGTTTTTTTAAGAACCTCTATGCCCAATGTGGGGCTTGAACCCACGACCCTAAGACCAGGAGTCACACTCTCCACTGACTGAGCCAGCTGGGCACCCCTAATTTCTGGTTTTGTGGGTAATAACCCACTAACCTGATTTTCTACCCATTGCAACAAAAACCAGGGGTTTAAAAACACTGATCTCGACTCTCTTGTACCCCAGGGACACTAACATACTGTACTCTGAGTCACTAAAAGATCCCCTAGGGCAAAAGCAGAATTTCTAGGTTCTACACTTTCCACACTTGGCTGCCCCCTGCACAGTACCAATGCCCACACTCTGGGTTAAGCTAAGTCAGGGGCACTTCAGAGAAAAGTCAGGGAGAGCCCAGCGCGGGGTCAGGGAGTAGGAGTCAGGCCTCTCTCTACCTGGACCAGATTAGGAGTCAAGCAGATTCCACATAGAGCTGTTCTGCTTACATAGGAACGGTGTTTTACCAAAAAAAAAACCCAAAACAAAACAAAACAGAAAAAAGGAGCCCTACTGGCTGGTAGTGATGGAGGGACACTCTCAGAACGCCAGAGACCCTGTCACTTCTCAGTCTCCTACATCAATGCCACTGACCACGCCCCATCAGGTCTTCAGGGAAGGCAGCTATCAGGCTCAGAGAGGCTCAGAGAGGCTCAGAGGGCGAGAGCTGGCACTGCCGTGCAGAGTAGACCAAATCCTGTCCCACACTCAGAGCCAGCACTCGCTACAAGAAAAAAAATAAAAGCAGATTTAAGGGCTTAAGAAAAGCCTTTAGGCTCCCCACTGTGTCAACAAAGAGATTACCATTACAGGCAGGAACCAGGGCAGAAAAACCTTGACTGCATTCTGAGATTTTGCAAGACCTCTTCCCCTAACCCCCCCTCTTACTGAGACCAGAGCAGATACACGGCAAACCCCGCCTGAGCCAGGATGTGACCAGAGGAAACTGATCGGCTGATTTTCATTAGAGAGATCTGTTCTGCGGAATAAGAAGTCATTAATGGAAATGCCCTCCTTCCCTATCCCCTCCCAGGGGGCAGTGAAGTCATTGTGAATCAACTGGACACCACCCCAGGGAACAGTTGATAGATACGCTTAATTAAATAGGTCATTCAGTCCCTCACTTTTCTGATTCCATTAAAGTGTCTTTTGGACCAGACTGAAATTTAGAAAGTGCTTGTCTCTAGACTCTGATGTGGAAGGTTTAAAGGTCACATTAAGGCAAAAGTATCCATCTGGCAGATGACTCAGGTTCAGAAGGAAGGAAGATGAGAAACAATGGAATCAAAATTGTCTTCCTGCGAAAGAAAGCAAGGCTGGGGTAGGGAGATCACAAAATCCTAAAACACTGGAGGAGAGACTAATCTCTGGCCCGGGGCAGGCGTGATTAAGCTTTAATCCCTTTATAAAATAGAGACGGGGGGCGCCTGGGTGGCGCAGTCGGTTAAGCGTCCGACTTCAGCCAGGTCACGATCTCGCGGTCTGTGAGTTCGAGCCCCGCGTCAGGCTCTGGGCTGATGGCTCAGAGCCTGGAGCCTGTTTCCAATTCTGTGTCTCCCTCTCTCTCTGCCCCTCCCCCGTTCATGCTCTGTCTCTCTCTGTGCCAAAAATAAATAAACGTTGAAAAAAAAAAAAAAAAGCTCTTTAAAAAAAATAAAATAGAGACGGAAACACTAGTTTTGAACTGACCCAAAGGTCACAACACCAGGACAGCTTTTAGGCCATCAACAAATTTTTAACCCCAATATTAAAATCTGGGATCCTAGCTACCCAGCTGCTGTTAAAGGTGGCCCCATTCTCTCTAACAGCTTAACAAAAGACCAAAAACAGTTCGGGCATCTGGGTGGCTCAGTCGGTTGGGCGGCCGACCTCAGCTCAGGTCATGATCCTGTGCTTTGTGGGTTTGAGCCCC